TGTTTGGGGCTCTCGGCCTTGCTTGTAGAATTACTGTGGTAATAAATGACAGTTCCTTGAAGGAGAGGTCTGTTTCTGTCTCTCTTTCTATAGCACTAAGATCAGCACCTGGATCATGTAGCATGCTCAACACAAGCATGCTCAATGCAAAATGAAAAACTTATTCACTGATCTCACACTTTCTGTACAAAAGGGCTCAGTAAGAAGACATAAGGCATACGGCTCCTTAACAGACCAGCAAGCAGAAGCAACAGCATCCGACCCAGTTCCCAGTAAAATTCAAAATGTCAGGTCATGAGATTCAAAAGTTTGGATGTTTCCTGGCCTTCAGAATTCATTTTAATTCTCTAAATGAAAAAGAAAACAATCTCAAAAAATACTTTCAAAGTATTATACTCTTGCAAAGTCAGCTGCTCCTCTCAATGCAATTTGCTATGGCCCAGTATTTATTGATTCCCTGCCATCGTGCCCTGCAAATATATAAATGAGGCCCAGTTGCCAGCTTCACTCTGTGACACACACTTCACTCTGTGACTATACTACAGTGATAAGGGGCACTGGGGAACCACAATGATTAGATTGCTCTCCAATTATAGCCACTGTTTACACATCAGGGACCAACCTTACAGAACACAGCCACCTAGAAAACCACTGAAATGGGCTGGGGACCTAGCTCAGACCAGAACCCTTGTCTGACATGTTGGATGCCAAGATGTTTCAAACCAGCACACAAACACACAGAAGACAACAGAAAGGCCGAAATAATGACTTGACTTTCTAGTCACTTTAGTTATGTACGCACATTCATGTGTTTATCAACTTTTGTAGAGTAGCACCTAATATTATCCTAATTTCTTTTAGTTTAGTCTTTCTTGCTGCTAGTTTTAGTTTAGCTCAAAGTCATAACCATATTTAAGCACAGACATCAATAAATAAGGTAGCTATACATATATACATACATATATGTAAATGCTTTCATAAAGAAAAATTCCTCTTTTTTTTTTTTTTTTGGTTTTTTTGAAACAGGGTCTCCCTGTAGCCCCAGCTGTCCTGGAACTCACAAAGTAGACCAGGCTGGCCTCAAACTCACAGAGATCCACCTGCCTCTGCCTCCCAAGCACTGGGACTAAAGGCATGCACCACCACACCCAGCTAAAATAACCTCTTTATAGAAGTCAAATAATCGCCAGCAAACATATCTTGAAACATGTCATATGCTGGAATCTTCCAAAAGGAATGCAGCTGATTTCCAGTTAACTGAGGTTCATCCTCTGCTGCCTGCCAATGTCTGTACGTCTGCCCTGTTCCAAATGCAAATAACTGCACCAGCTTTAGCTCTAACTAGTTTTCTTCTAAATTATTTTATTAAGTCTAAATGTAAAGACTATAAGGAAAGCTAATATTTTTGTTAAATGACTATCTGATATCCCAAAATTTGGTAGAATGATTCTAACCATATGTCTCCTTTAGGGTCTGGGAAGTCACTGCTTTCCACTGTGTTCTGTATAGCCTACTGAGAGTAGATGAGGGTATTCAGTATGTACCAAGGTACTTCCAAGGAACACAACCACTTGCTATGTTCTTAAAAAAAGCATGATACCCAAAAAGCAAAACTACACTATCACAGAATAATTAAGTTCAATCATGTGTCTTCAATGTAAGTTAAGAAAAAGAAATACATGTCATAATATTACTCTAAGTAATAAGTATCTTTTCATAAAACTCAAAATACCAAGGCACATTATGAAATGAATTATCTTCATAAGGGAACCTGCTACTATTGCTAACTACTTCCCAAGGCAGTCGCCTTTAGGGGCAATGTCCTATATTAAGGCACCTTCAAAATGCCCTTTATCTTCAGCTGAACTTTATGATACAAGCTGAGCATGCCCAGAGGTGTTCCTATGTTCCACTTTAACCTTTCAATCATGTGCTCCATGCCCTTAAGCTAAGCAAGTCCCCAAATGTGTCGACTACTTTTCCTTCTCAAACTATGTCTCTAATAGAGCTGAGAACATTCAGCAAAGTACTCCATGGCCTGTGCAGGGAAGTGCTGGGGCCTGACATGCTCAAAGAGGGAATTTGGAACTGATCCCCCTGCTTTCTCCACTGATTCACCTCTTGGCACATTTGTTTCTGTTTTGCACCCATCAACATGTGAACTGCTCAGAGCTGAAGAAATGGTTCAGTGGTCAAGAGCAGTAGCTGCTCTTGCAGAGAACTCAGGCTCAGTTCCCAGGACCCACATGGTGGCTAACAACCTCCTGTAGTTCCAGTTTTAGGGGATCCAACACCCTCTTCTGGCCTCTATGGGTACTGCACGCAAATGCATGCATACAAAACACTCATACACATAAAAATAAAAACAAAATAAAAAAATTACAGATGTGAACCCCTGTGCTTGGTGGCACTAATTAGTTAAAATGTCTGTCCTCTAAATCGTCATTAGCTTCCTGCAAAAGAACTTATGCGCTCTGTCTTTAAATCCTCCCATGGTCGCCATACTCACCAATGGCTGCTCTAATCAAGAGAAGATCAACAAGACTCAGAAGCTGTATTAATTGGAAAGAAACAGACACATGCATTCTGAAAAGCCAGCTTCAGTTTTTAAAAAATAACTTGTCAAATATTATTTTTCTCTAAATTAGATATGATAAATCTACCTCTACAGAGAGTATTCTGTAATTTCAAATGATCCTCCACAGGTCAGTTCAGATTATTTTATATTATTATTGTATGGCAGCAAGATTATCAAATTGTTTCTAAATTAATTGACGAAGCCCTATGGAAGAGGGCTCACAGGGTCATTATAAGGAAATAGAAAGGCTCTGAAATTGAATAGTAATGACTGCACAGCTCTAGATTTTACACAGAACAATGTGAATTACATAAATTACATCTCAATAAAGTCATTTTTATAAATGGTTTACCTAAGTCATGCACATCTTTTACACAGTAGGGATCTACCCTTCATAATACTAATATTATAAGTGGATTTTAATTTTAAAATATATCAGAACTAGGAGTTTGCTTGCTTTATTAAAATCAGTGAGTTCCAAATCTAGGCCTCTGACAGGGGTAAGTTTCCTTAGGAGATAAGCAATTCTGTGACAGAAGTAGGAAACTTTATTTCAAGTAATTTACAAAAAGCCTTATTTATTTCTCCTGGGTCCTTCATTACCCACAATTTTTAGCTATATTTATCACAATTCATCCAATATTTTTTCAACAGGGTGTTGTCCTAAAAAATAAGAGGTGTAAAAAAGCTCAAAGTGGTACCGTTAGCTGATTAGCTGTGTCCTCTCTCCCCTGCCAGTTGTTACTCCCTGAGGCCCCCACCCCCAGCTGTACCAAGCCTAGATACAGGCTAAAGGGAGCAAATAGAGAAGACGTGGCTTGAGCCTATTTCTAAAACTGCCCCCTTTTTTGCCAAGCTTGGTCTTAATATAACCCAAATGAGTCAGTGCAGCCTACCGGCGGCTGTGGGTGTCTCATAGTACCCCTCTTCTAGTCAGAAACAACCAGACCCCTCACATTACCAACTCGCCAAGATCAAATTTTAGGATGGAAGGAAAAGGCAGGTAGGATGGGAGGTAAGAACAGAGAAAAACAGCTTCTCGACACTCTGAGGCTCGGGATCTAAAATCACCAGCTCGCATATGGTTGCTTTCACAAGGATAATCTGCCTCAGATTCAATGTGCTTGTGTTAAATTTAAGCTCCATGATTTCGATAAGAGAAGTCCATGGCGGTTTTTTAACCAACATATTCAATATTTGATTTAGACATTATAATGAGCTTTGTTTTTTTGGGGGGGGGGATTTGTCTTACATCCCCCTATTTGTCTCTTAGAACTCTACATATTATACAGAAAGTTCCCAGTGCACAAGCTATTCCACACCTGCCAGATGATACTTCATAGACAGAAAAGGTGTACACAAGAATAGAATGCTTTTGTTTTGAAGACACCAGAAAATTCTAGCCATCAAAGTTGTGTTAGAATCTATCACTTCTATTTCCATTTCAAAACTCGTGCCATCCTTACACTTCTGCATAAGAACAGCTACTCTTACTTTTCTCTGCAAATGATTTGTCTTTGGTTTGGAAATTGAAGGATTTAAGATGACTTTCCTAGATCAATGATGAAAATTCAACATGATTTAAAATGAGTGATCAGCACCAACAATATAAACATGAAAAAGGGTTGGAGAGATGGCTCAGCAGTTAAGAGCACTGTCTGCTCCTGCAGAGGACCTAGGTTCGATTCTCAGCACCCACATGGCAGCTAACAACCATCCGTAACTCCAGTTCCAGAGAGTGACCTCAAAGAGCATGGCATGATACTGATGCACTTACATACATGCAGGAAATATACTCATACACATAAAACAAAATGATAAAAAATTATCTTTAAAATGAAAAAGGAGATACAGAGAATAAGACACAGTGGCAACTTGATGTTTTCCAAAAATGAAAGGAATTAAGGAAAAATACTAGATATTTCAAATTAGTTAGAAGACTAAAGCAGTATACAAAAATGGTATTTATGGACTAGCTCAGTGATAAAATAATTGATTTGAATATGTATGCCTTTGCGTTTGACCCCTAGCTTAAAAGTAAATCAGAAGAAATCTATGCACTGAGAATATTCTTTTTCCTTGACAACACAGAGCTTTCTAGGTCTCGCTGGTATTTGTAATGTAGATGATCTTCTTCCAGGTTAAACAGAACCCACTGGGTTGTGTTCTTCAATTGAATAACTATGCTCTTAACAACATTTTAGCTCAATTAGAACTTGAATTTCACAAAAATTTTAGATTATGCCATGTTTTCTTGCTCAAAAAGTTTACTATATTACAGAACTGGGGCAGATCATCATTTTATAACTGAGGAAAATCTACTTTTTTACAATAATGAATCTTTGTAAGTTAATTCAATATATACATTTCAACTCTTTAAGTCATTTAATATAGGCTGAAAAATCCAGAGTATCTCTCTTACCATTCAGTAAACAAGATAACCAGATCTTCGTGATTGGCATAGTGTTCCATGGCTTCCTTCATTAATCTCACTTTCTGGCCCCCTCCAATGCTGTTAAATCCATCTCCACCTCTCCACTCTTCCCCTTGACCAAGAACCTAAAATGAAATCAAGATTTCATCCCTGAGGAATCCCAATCATGAGAGTATCACAGAAATGTCAACACCAACTTGTACAGCACTGCATAGAAACCTAGTATCGTACTATAATTAAATCATGAGGCTAGAAAGAAAACAAATTTTTGCATGGTCAGGTCATATTTCTTCAGTGTTATTCACTATTGACATGTCATTCCAAATTGAACATTTCAAAAGGCAACTGTAATCCATGTAGGTGGCCCCAGAAAACATTTTATTTGTATTTTTCAGACTTAGATGGAAAGGAAAATGAAGAATTCTTCCAGTTCACTTGTTTCGATCTGGCAGGGAATATGAGAGCTCATTAAAATCCCTAGGCACTCAGTTTCTGGAGAGACAGGCCTCTCAGGCAATTTTCTAACTGAACCAAATAGACACAGAGACCATAAAATAAACCTTCCTTGCCATATATATACATATATATTATATATATTATATATGTGTATATTTTGGTCTTTTTGAGACAGAGTCTCCCTGTAGCCCCAGCTAGCCTGAACTCACTATGTAGACCAGGCTGACCTTGAACTCACAGAGATTGCTTGCCTCTGCCTCCCGGTGCTAGGACTAAAGGTGTGCACCTCAATGTCCAGCACCTTCTAAATCTTAAATTCACATCATGCTCAAAAGATTAGTGAGAATTAATCAATGTAGACTAGTTTGTGTTAAACAGACTTTTCTATTTACCTGGGCCCCAAACACTGAGCCCTGAACTGGAAGTCATTATGGACATACTAACTTTTGGGGTTGGGGGGGCAGAAGTGAAACCAGTATGTGTCCCACCTCCTGACAGTCACTTAATGTCTTAGTTTAGCAAGACAAAGTCTACAGCAAAGATGAACTAGCACATCTAGAAAATTACGGAGGAATGACCTTTAAATGAAATGGAAACAAAATGGACTACGTGCACAAAATGAACACCATTAATTTCAACTTTACCTAACGCTGAGCCAAACAACAACATCTGTGGGCCTCAGCCTCAGATCTTTTCATTCCCATTTCACCACTGCTTACCTGGAGGATCTGGGTAAAAGACACTCAAGAATACTGAAGATTCAAACGAGAACAAATCTATTTCATCTTGAGTGTTCCTGATGAGATTTGTTCTAGAACCCTCTAGGATCCTCAGATCCTGGTGTGACACGGAGCCCATCCACATCTGAGGCCTCTCCCAGTGAGCACTGTGAGGCTTCAGGCTTTGATGTGTAACAGTCACACGGACAAATGGCAAAGGACCTCTGAGGGCCACACCCAGAATCTGGGACGCACTGGTCTGAGGTACAGTCTGGGCATTCCCCTTTCTGAATGGTTTTAGGGGATGAAGATGTCACTGGTATAAAGTACACACATTAGCAACCACTGGACTGTGTCACAGGACAAGAAGAGGGTCATACTTGTCAGTTAAACAGGGCTCCACTCTGACCTGAGAGGTTACAGCTATGTACCCCGGGACAAGTTTTCCTCACAAATAAATGAATTATGCTAAAAAATACAAGTCCATCTTAATTTATGTACATGAATTAACAGCATACCATATGTAAATTTCCTAATAAAGTTCTTGCACATAATAATTGACTCCTACAGATCCTCCCAGTGAGTCTCATCCATACTTTATCGTGATTCTTCTTACCTCTATAGTGTCTCTCTCAGTGCATGCCACTGTGTTTCCCATTTACTCTGCACTAAATGTGCAGTGCAGTTGTTACCAACAGAGCTTTTTCTAGCAAAGTTTAGTGTCTTTAATACTCTGAGAATCAACGTCTACACCTTGCCTCTCAGGGAATAATTAATGAACACCACCTTTTTCCACATCACATACTAGGACCAACAGTTTTTCCCGAATACGTCCTTATTCTCCTCTTTACAGGAAAGATATGGCTGGCATATCCTTTATATTAATAAATAACTAGATAGAAAGAACCAATTGACAAGTCAGACAACATTTCTAGCAACCCTCCTGAGTCATTTCCCATCATCTATCAGTGAAATGTGTTCTGGAGAATTCTAAAACATTTGGCAATGTTCCAAAATTCCATTAAAACAAATAAACAACAACAAACAAAAACAAAACAGGAAAAGCAACCATTGACAGTAGCTAAAAATGCCCCCTTCCAGTCACTTCTTATTGTCTACAAATAAACATACCACAGCAGACAACCCATTAGTCAGTGAAAAAATTCAAAACAAAATTTAATTACGTTGTATTTATGTATGACCCCACAAAAGAAATCTTTTAATTTACATATATACACATATTTCCTATTGTTTTGTAGAACGTCTTTATATAAACCATTGGCTAGCATTGAGGATATTAACAAGGTCAAAAAATATCTTTATATAAATTTCAGAATAATTATATAATTAAATTTCATTTTCTTGTGTTGATTACAGACTACAGTGTTGTTATGAAAACTATACTTTACGGTTAGAAAGATTGCTCAGTGGTTAAAGAGTACGTATTATTCTTGCAGGGAACTTGAGTTTGGTTCCCAACACCCAGATTAGGCAGCTCACAACCATCTACAACTCCAGCTCCAGGGGATCTGCAGTATCTTGTCTCCACAACTACCTGCACTCATGTGCACATACCCAAACACACACACACACACACACAATTAAAACCAAAAACAGCACAAATTCCAAACACGTCCACACACTGAAAGATTTATTTACCTTCACAGTATAATTGAAATATTTGGCTGAATGCATAAATCGATGGAATCCATCATTTTCTTTTGTTGCTACAGTTATGACTAATAATTTATCTGCAAAGAAAGAAAGAAATAAGATGGTTTAGCAAGAGATTAAATGTTATCACTCCACAACTCACTCTAGCCATTATAGACCTCATTAAACTCATGGAAATGTTTTCGTTTGTTAGCTTAGATAAGAAAAACAAAGAGCTACTGACAAACAGACAAATCAAATGGGCTACATTACTGTCAAATGATGTGTTTTATTTCCAAAGGTTAAAACTTTCTACAACTATTACCTCAACAGCCAGCTGCATCGTCATCTATAAATTGTTCTGGATTTACCACACATTGTCAAGTGCCATGCTCGGCATTGAAAGAACTGAGAAGTGCAAAGGAGGACCTGATCACAAAGGCTAATCTTTAGTTTCTAAAATAAATTGTGAACAAATTGGAAACAGACAGTAGTGAAAAACAAATCTTACTTTTTCCTTCCCACCCATAAGGTTTTATATGAAAAGTCTTAAAATTCATCACATTTATATCATTTATTTATGACTTAGGTTTTTTTAAATGGTAATTGCAACAAAATTCAGCAATGTTAGTATCATCATTAGTAAATATATGGCTTTTTGTTGCCTTTTAATGATGATTTATTTTTAATATAAGATCTCTTCTTAGCAGAAGCAGGTAGGTTAAATAGTATTTACAAATACCCCTAAAGGGCTAGAGAGCCAGCTCAGTGATTAAGACCACTGGCTGCTCTTGCAGAAGACCCAGGTTCAGTCCCCAGCACCCACATAGTGACTAACAACCATCAGTAACTCCTGTTTCAGGGGATCTGAAACCCTCTTGTAGCTTCTGTGGGCACTGTACAACATAAGTATACTTACACATAAGCATACAAAACACTCATACACACAAAATAAAAACAAGCACAAAACATTGTAAATAACCCCAGAAGCTACTACCGATGGATAATATTTATCAGGCAAAGGCATGTTGGAAATTTCATGGACAATGTGTGTACCCTAGCAGGTACTATGATGGAAGAGGGCATCTTTGTTTAGGGTTAGGAGCCATGGACAAGGCAGCCAAGCTACATCTGAGCATCTAAGCCCCAGACCACCATGCTTCATTCTCTATTCCCTCAGATACAAGAAAATTGGTGTAACCCGAAGGCTCCTCCAAAAAGCTGGAGCTGATCCAGGGCAAGCTTGGGAGATGCAGAGCACACTGTGAAAAAGGGGTGGAGCTGCTGCCATATTGGGTGCGGGAAAATGCTGAGCAACAGAAGGTGGGGGCTGGAGACAATGGCACGTGCATTTCATATATGGAAAAGGAAAAGCCTATAAGAATCTGCATTTTTGAAAGTCACCCCCTCCCAAATGTCATATAAACGATGCAAAATCCAAATAGGCTGCCTTATGTCGGTTTGTCGGCCCTGGGACCTCAGAGGGCACGGGGGCCAGTCTCCCAAGAAGGGGGAGGGGAAATTTACTGAAACACCTGGGAAGGCCCTGCATTCTATAGGTCATACAGAATCTCAGAAAACAGCATTAGTGGACTGTAAGAATCAGTTAAAAACAGCTTCATACAAACTAAGGTAACTCTGCAGCAAGTTCTGTAGATAACTGACTATAAAATATAAGTACAATGTACCTAAAGTAAGCATTCATTATTCAAAAAGCAAAAACATTTCCATGAAGATAAATACCACATCTTTAGATTTCTGTCAAAAAAGAAATTATCTATTGGAAACTTTCTGGCTAGGAAATAAATAGTATAGTAAAATTTAATCTTCTTCATTAATGTTGTGAAGGCTTGAGTAAATGTATGTTAAAGATACTGTAAATTGCTATTTTTTTTTATATAAATAATTTCCCAGGGCTAGAGAGATGGCTCAGGAAAAAGCATATGCCAAGCAAGCCAGGCTACCTGAGATGTCTAGACCCCACAGAGAAGCTAGACACAGAACAGCACAAGTGTCTGTGATCCTAGCATGCCTAGGGGAGATGAGAACAGAAGACGGAGAGCTTAAGAAGCTCTCGACACACACACACACACACACACACCAATTTCCCTTTTATTTTACTTTTTATTTACTGATTGATTTATTTTGGCCTTTTTCGAGACAGGGCCTCCCTGTAGCCCCAGCTGGCCTGGAATTCACTATGTAGACCAGACCAATGCCTTGAACTCACAGAGATCTGCCTGCCTCTTCCTCCTGTGTCCTGGGATTAAAGGCATATGCCCCCACACTCAGCTAAATCAATTTCTCTTTTTATGTTTCAAATGTGCCTTTACTGACTAAGAAACTTTGACCTGTCACCATTTGTAGTAAGTTTCAAAAGAGAGTGCACCAGCTACAAGCAGGCAAAAACATGAGGTTTCTTTTCTCCACAATAAAATGCCTCTAAAATACCTCAATTTTTCCTAAAGCAAACAAGTTTAGAGTTTTGAATGGACAGACTTTTCCACTTACCATTTCCAGTATAAAATTAATAACAAGAATTTCATCATCCTTACTAGGTGTGCTGGATAGTTTCAGCTGTCAACTTGACATATCTGGGAAGAGGGAACCTCAACTCAAGAATTCCTCCACTGGACTCGCCTGTGACCATGTTCAGTAATAACGTAGGAGGGCCCAGCCCACTGTGAGTGGTACCACCCTTGGGCAGATGGTCCTGTGCTATGTAAGAAAGCAGGTTGAGCTCAAGCCAGGTAGCAAGCCAGGAAACAGCATTAGTCCATTGTCTGTGCTTCATCCTATCTCCAAGTTCCTTCTCTTGAGTTTCTGTGCATATTTCCTTCAGTGATGAACTGTGACCTGGGAAATGTAACATAAACTCTGTGCTCCCCAAGTTGTTTTGATCAGTGCTTTTTATCACAGCAATAGAAAGTAACTAGGGCACCAGGACTCACAACTGGCCAGAGCATTAGGGAGACAAAAATGCTAGTGAACTCAGTAACTCAGAAGGCAAAGCTTACAAAGGACCTGGTCTAGCAAACCTATACCATGTGCCACATAACGACTCCCTCTACTTCAGTACTGTTGTTAACTATTAAAAAAATGCATGCAATTTTGCTAAAGAAAAGTGCATTTAATAGTATTACACATAGCTACTTTCTTGCTTGCAGTTCAGTATCTCTATGACAAGAAATAAGCCTTACTAATTAATTAAATTAGGGAAAGGTAAAGAAAACACTGATGCTGACCACTCATAAGCTTTCAATATCCAGTTCAAGATCTCAACTTTCTCATCCTTTGAGAAATATTCTTTCTAAAATGCGAGAAAAGTTTAATATTTAAATTGAAATATAATTTTACACTACAAATATACTAGCGATAGGGGCAGAGAAGCCACTGAAAATGGCACATACCTAGAATTCTAGCACTTGGAAGACTGACACAGAAAGATCACAAGTTGGAAGACACCTAGGCTGCAAAAGTAAGTTCAAGGCCAACCTGGTCCTGTCTCAAAAGCCCAAAACCTAAAATGAAATGAAAATAATGAAGAGACAGAAGAGGGTAAGTGACAAAAGGGATGTCCTGGGTAAAACCCAGAACATGGGGAGTTCTTAGGACAGAGAATACAGTGCCCAAAGCAAAGCGAAACAGAAGAAAATCTACAGATTAGTTTGTAACTAAGATAATTCTCCATTAATCCAACTTACAGAAATTACTTAGGACAGAAGTTGAAGAACTGACTTGAAGAAACTGTGGGAAGGAATTTATGAGAAAACCAGAGAAATATAAACGCTGATTTATTGATATCCCAAAATTAAAGATGCTAATCATATTCATAGTTTTTAAAAAGAGTATCATTCCAATACATACAATTCATCCAAAAAAATAACATAGTGAATGAGATTTGCCTCAAAGTTATTTGTAATAAATGGATGGTGATGCAGAGGGGAGAAGATTAAACATCATAACTTCATAATTGCTGATTATTCTTGTATATATATTTTTAAATTATAATTAAAGACTCAATTTTGAACAAAATTCCTAATCTTTTCATCATGAAATGCTAGGAAAAACTTTATTGTAAATATTTTGACTGTGAATGAATCATGGATGTAGTGAAAGGAAGACAAAATAGACAAAATAGAAATTATTTTCTCGGTTGTTTGGGAGGCTGAAGCAGGAGAACCCAAGTTCAAGGCCTATACAGACTACAGACTATTCAAGGTGAGCATAGACAACTTAGAGTCTGTCTCAAAAATATAAAATAACAAGAGGACCGAGACTATAGCTTTGTGGCCCAAATTCTCTCTTGGTCTCCTGGGTGATCAGACAAACCATATAATACATTTTATGTGCATTTATTAACTTACAAAGGAAGTTCCCAGTGCCCAGTGCCCAGCCCCGCGCAGCACTTCAGAGCCACGCCCAGCACTTCAGAGCCACGCCCATAATTCCCCCATACTATCAGACCGTGCCACGCCCATAATTCCCCCATACTATCAGACCGTGCCACGCCCATAATTCGCTGTTTGGGAGGCTGAAGCAGGAGAACCCAAGTTCAAGGCCTATACAGACTACAGACTATTCAAGGTGAGCATAGACAACTTAGAGTCTGTCTCAAAAATATAAAATAACAAGAGGACCGAGACTATAGCTTTGTGGCCCAAATTCTCTCTTGGTCTCCTGGGTGATCAGACAAACCATATAATACATTTTATGTGCATTTATTAACTTACAAAGGAAGTTCCCAGTGCCCAGTGCCCAGCCCCGCAAAGCACTTCAGAGCCACGCCCATAATTCGCCCATACTATCAGACCGTGCCACGCCCATAATTCGTCACCCTCTGGGGCTAGCGATCACCCCAGGTCCATTAAGCCAGTCCATTCTGTCTTTCAGCTGTTGCACCCATGGCTCGTGCGCTTCCCCACGGCTCAGTGGCTTCCCCACTGCTTGTGGCTTCTCCCCCTGGGCTCAAGGCTTCCATTCCAAGATGGCTCCCAGCCACACCCCAGTAGTCCACACTCTGCAGCAGGCCCCGCCCATTGGAGGAACTAGCCAATCGGGAGACAAGTTTAGGAGTAGACTACCAACTAGCATGCAG